GCACAGCTCCAGTTAAATTTAGCGCAATAATGAGAATGAGAGAAATTTGCATGCAGTGTCAGTGCCGAACATTTTCCCAATACTAACTGTGGACACCCCACCACTTTCGCCAACTTACTTTACCAACAGTTGAGATGTCTTAATGCATTCATATTCCCGTTGTTAGCAAAGAAAGCGAAAGAGAAAAGTAAAAAATACATCAAACTATGCAACGAAAGGACAGTAAAGGTAAAGTGTGATAACATTTCTTATAAAAAAATTTAAGATTCATATCCTGAAGCTTCCTTAGTGTCGGAAATATTTCGAGTGAATTCCCTGAGGGCAGGCTGTGAAGCGCTGAGCACATTTTGTTGCATTTGGGCGGCGAAGGTTGAGTTGCTCTTTGGTGTCGAAGTGTCATAATTGCTTGTGCGTGTGTTTGTGTCTATAAGGCAAGTGTTCAAAAGGGTTAAGGTCTCGCCTTTTGGTGTCAATAAAAGGGCTTTTCGCCATGTGTATTTAATTTCACAAAAGCGCCAAAATAATTCAAATGCCCTAAATAATTCATCTACCTGATTGAATGATTAAAAAAGGACTTGGAAAAACTTGAAAGTGGAAATAAATCACTTTCGCTGCCCCATCTCTTCGTTTGAAGTAAAATTTGCTTTACCCAGCGCTTAACGGTTTAGAGGCGCTTAGGAACATAAAACGATTTGGAAGGTAAAATGATGGGTTAGTACTTGATATCCATTTCAGACACTTTAATCCCTTTCCGAAGCGAAAGCTGTTTATTCGTTGTGAGCTCGTACTTGTAAGCAAGTTTTCGAGTGCAAAGAGGTATTGAAGATCAGTGAAGAAAAAAAGACTACTCATCTGCTACTTCTCTTCGAGTTGTGTGAATTTACTCTAAATCAGTTTTACATTTTGAGATACTTATATAACCAAAATCTGTTCAGAAACAGTTCCCGTTATGATTTTCTAATATATAGTATACTTAGTCAAAAGTCCATCATATATATTTGAAAATGTAACTGATTATAAAATTTCGTTTATCAGTTTTCTTAGAGGTGACTCTTACAATTTCGTCGAAAATTTTATAACCAAGAAAGAAATATCGAATTTCCTTAGGAATAGCACAACTGTTGTGGTAAGTCAAGACACTGCTGTAAATTTTTAGATTTTGTAAAATATACTAAAATATTTTTTTTTTTAAATCAATTAAATTTTGGTATCTATCATCAATGAATTAGACTCCATCATCCTAATCTCCATGAAACTTCCACTTTGAAGAGAATACATATATTTTCTTAAGTTATTTATGATAATTTCCGACTCTTCAAGCTTATATTTCGAAAAGTGTGAAGCTTCGAAGTAACAAAAGAGCTCCTCTGATCCAAAAGGGATCGAAAAGAATGCAAAAGTAAGAAGAAATTTTATACTTGTAGTGTACTCCATATATTTATAAGCAAACTATGGCAAACTAGGTGCTATTTTACCTAGATTTAGGAATCCATCAAAAGAGATAGAGCTAATACGATGGTAGTCGGCATATTTAGTGCCATCTCCCGTTGCTTTTACCAAAAGAAGATAAAGGTTATCCTAAGAGAAGTATGTAGATATTTTATCGATTATTTTGGGCACTAAAAGCTGAGTTTCTCAACTGGTTTCCGATATTTAATTATTGAAACAGTCAAAGTGCTCTCCACTACAATCGATATAGCTGCGCAATAAACAGTACTAAATTTAACAAAGATATGAAAGAACTGTCTAGATTTTCGAGCCGAAATTCAGCACACATATCTCCTTTGAGCAAAATACATTTCTTCTAAATATAAAATTTGCGTTGGGTATAACAAAAAAAGTTGAGCGTAGTCACATATTGCTTCCACTGAAAATTTAAGAGCAGTCCTTTTATATAAATTTCTGCTTGGACGACAAAATTTCGTAGTGATAAAAAGAAAACAAAAAACAAATTAAAATCTCGTCATAAATATTGAAAATTCGTAATTTCTCGTATATTTTTCCACACTTTTTAATTATAATTTTTATTATTTTATTTTTATGCAAATGAGTTGGAAACCTCACCTAGCTAAGATTATAATTTTACGCCGAGGCAAAAACTAATAAAAATTCAAAAAAAAACGATTTGATTATTTGCTGTTTTATAGCTTTGAGTGTTGGTAGTCGAGAGTGGCAAACATTGGTGTGACCCCTAAAAAGTACTTAACGCGTTAATAAGCAAATGCAATTCCTCACACCACAGCAATGCTGAAAGAAACAGCATACAATCTGACGCCGTAGCATAAACACACAAATGTACAGCAGGAAAAGGTATTTAAAAGAAAAATAAACGTCAACGTCAAATCATTCGCAGAGCGCAACAAAATTTGAATAAAAATGAAATTACGTAAGACGCCGCGTTGCGATTTTGTTGCAAACGTTTTTCTGCTCCTTCACACAATTTCAATTTCGCTGCTGTTATTGTCAGCCGGAGTACGGTGCCCATTACCGCTACGGCTGTCCGCGTGTTTATGTTGCGCTCGCTCGCGTGTCGGCTATAAAAATTGACGAACTGTGAAAGCGGCAAACGTCGCAACGCAGCAGTTGACAGTTAAGTGTACGCACAACCACCCAACCAAATATATAGAAATAACGAAAAGACGTTAGTCGGATGTATGTGTCGGTGAGTGGCAACTTCGCGACAGGTATTTGTAAGTGTAAATTTGTTGCATGTCACTCGTGGCAGCCATATTTTAATTGAATTGCTCGTTTGCGTCCTCAGTCGTTGTATGTTCGTCGCGCTTTGCTGATTAGGAGGTGCGAATGTATACTCTATTCCTTTGGCACCTGTCAATGCTTTTTTCCACCTCTTGTTTGCTTTCATTCGCTTTATCTTTCAACATCCACTTCAGTGTTTTCTCACTTACTTTCGCTTATTTTCCTACGCAATTTACCCAACATCAGCGTTTTAATGATGCGTTTTATTGTGACTGCAACATTTCCCGCAACGCAGCCACAAATGCCGATGCGGAGCTATAGCAATAGAAATAGATGGACCGGGAGAAGCATAGCTTCAATAATTGTAGGGGACACCTAGTGACTTAGCGATTTATTACGGTCCATAAATTGGGCACTCTACAACTGGCAATCACAGCTTTATACCCACAACAATAACAACGTAAAGATGCTTCGCAATATGCACAGGCTCCACATCAGGTAAAAGCATTTTAACTTTAATACCACACTGGAAATAGTAGCATATTTTACTTGTTTGCCAAGAATTATGGATTACAGCAAACAACATTAAAGTTTTATAGGGTTTTTGAACTGACGTCGTTAATGTATGATGACGTTATAACATTGTACACATACGAATATAGGCGTTTTTGACAGTCAATATGCCATGTGGCAGCAATTGACATAAATATGTTTTGTAGGACAGTCGAAACTTTTTACCCCCTCTTTGATTGAATGGGTAAAGTAAAACTACTAGTTTTGGAGATCAGAAAGATATGGCTCTAATATTTTATACGTACTGTATAGAGACCTAGACTTATTTGTCAACTAATTGTACTGAAGTTCTTTTGGCTTTCGCCTATTTTTTCACACTGCATCTCGGTTGGTTCATACTGAAATAGGTGTATCGTTTATAATCCGTAGTACTTTCTCTCAGATGAAGTTGGATATACCTTAAGTTAAAAGTCCTCCAGCTGCAGGAAAGTGCTGCTACTGTGCTACTGGGTATATTAACAGTTAACAGTTAAGTTATGTGAACTCAGACTGGAAGACGTAACTGGTACCTACTATTTGAACAGGGTTGTCACCTGCAAGAGTTATGACCGACTAGATGCTCTGTCTTTTATTTTGCAATTTGAAAAGATATAAAAGATTATCGATATTAAGTCCACATTTGTCGTCAAATTATGTTGTTTTTGAAAGTGATAAAGAACCTCAAATAATTTCTGCCAGTTTATTCGCATAAAAAAACCCGAATGTCGTGGGAACGGGTTTCGACTCTATATAAAAATTCCGATTTAATATTGAAAATTATATTTCACGTCTGCTAGGATAGACGGTATGTTCGAAATATATGAAATCGCTCACACGTTCGTGTAAATAAACCTCAATTGTGACCTTAGAAACAAGAAAAGTGTCCCCTGAGAGTTCGTTCTAATCAGGTCTTGCTTTCTT